AATTGGCATTTAATCGGATTAGATTAGCATAAGACCCTAATCACCCCCCCTCTAGGGTCTAACACTTGTAAATAGCTGATCTTGTTAATTATCATGTATTAACAGTGACGTCCGTCAAGATGTCGATCAAACTAACATAAAACGAGACGATTGAAAACATAATTTCGATTGCAGTGTTACATAGAAAGAAAAGCGTCAAGCATCAGGTCATGAGCATGTTTGGCGTCTAACTTGGTTGGAATGATTGCATCCTAACAACGAGATTTGGAATCTATTCATTCGTCTTAGAGTGTTTGGCAACTTTGGATTATGATTCATTAGGCATGTAATCCATAAATGAATCATAACCAATGGGTTGGTGTTTTAACTCAAACTTATAGAAAGAAGTTGTGTCTCTCACACTTTAAATGAACATGTCAATAATACTCCAAAGTCCTTTAGCATCAAACGGAAAAGTAATTGCTCTCGTGCTTGGTATATCATGACAAATATCATGCTAAAGCTATGCATGTGCTTGTAAATAGATGGTCTTGTTAATTATCATGTATTAACAGTGACGTTCGTCAAGATGTCGATCAAACTAACATAAAACGAGATGGTTGAAAACATGATTTGGATTGCAGTGTTGCATAGAAAGCATCAGGTCGCGAGCATGTTTGGCGTCTAACTTGGATGGAATGATTGCATCCTAACAACTAGACTTGGAATTTATTCATTTGTCTTAGAGCTTTTGGTACCTTTGGATTATGATTCATTAGGCATGTAATCCATAAATAAACTATAACCAATGGGTTGGTGTTTTAACTCAATCTTATAGAAAGAAGTTGTGTTTCTCAAACTTTAAATGAACATGTCAAGAATACTCAGAAGTCCTTTCGCATCAAACGGAAAAGTAATTGCTCTTGTGCTTGGTATATCACGACAAATATCATGCTAAAGCTATGCATGTGCTTGTGAATAGCTGGTATTGTTAATTATCATGTATTAACACTGACGACAGTCAAGATGTCGATCAAACTAACATAAAACGAGACGATTGAGAACATGATTTAGAAAAGCGTCAAGCATCAGGTCATGAGCATGTTTGGCGTCTAACTTGGATGGAATGATTGCATCCTAACAACTAGACTTGGAATCTTTTCATTTGTCTTAGAGTGTTTGACAACTTTGGATTATGGTTCATTAGGTATGTAATCCATAAATGAATTATAACCAATGAGTTGGTGTTAAAAAAAGTGGAAA